GCGTGGTCTCTAGGCCAGGTATATCGGCATCACCTGGGAACTCATTAGAGCCATCAACTGTTGGGCCCTATCCCAGACCAACTAAACCAAAAACTCTGGAGTAGGGCTCAGCAATCTGTAGTTCAGCATGCCTTTCAGGTGGTTCTAATATACAGTGGATCCTCAAGTTACAACACTGGGCCACCATATGAGCAACTTGGGTTATGACTGGAATTTCAATTTAACTCATAAATATGTCTTGAGTTGAGACCAAAATCCCGGCTGCTTGTGCTTCCAGATGGTTTCAGATACAGATTTAACCCTTAAAGAGTTCTGGAAGGAACACTATAATATTCTTTCTCATGTGGGGTTAATTGAGAAATCCTAGGCCAATGTCCCTCTAAGGACACTGAGATCTGCCTGTATACAGGAGAGAGACTTTGAAGGCTGTGTAGAGGCCTGAGCCTTCATTTGAACAATCTGAGTTACAACCAGCCCTCAGGAATGAATTGAGTTCATAAGTCAAGGGTCCATTGTACAATGGAATTTGAGGTTCTTAACCTTAGTTGCCCATTGAAATCATTAGGGCCTTTAAAATTACCCATGCCAGGATCCCACACAAGGATTGTGATTATATTGGTGAGGAGTGTGGTTGGGACACGAGGTTTTCAGTTCTAACAGAGAACCCCAGTGGGGACCATGGCCCTTTAGAGGCACGGGGTTTCAAAGATATCCCTTGGCAGGCAGAGCATTCATCATGGTTTGGCTAAATGTAGCCTTGAGTTTAAGAGGTTTTATATTTGTATATAATAAAGGCCAAGGCTTTTTATTTATAACAGATTCACTTCAGGGTTTTTTAAAACAAAAGAGTCTGTTAATTGTTGCAGCTTTACTTCTGTAGACCACATGGGTGGATCTGTGGTTTGAAAGGAAATCCCATTTACACCCACCCATTAAATAGAAGGATAGAAGACCAAGGTGGGAAAAAGTACCTGCAAGCACTGAGATAATCTTCAAAATAGACAAAAGCATGTGCCGAGATGTGCGATAATGAAATGAGGGAGAGTAACACACATTACATTTCAAGTCAGCAAAAAGGACATGAAATCTGTCAGCTGCAGCACTGCTCAATGAGACACTGATATCTCCTGACATCTAAAAATTCTGGAAAGGGTACTTACCACTGCTGGTTTTCACCACCAATAACTTTGTTTTGGAAGCAAATGTCTCACAGAACTTTTATTTCCAAAACCCATCTATTTAATGTCATTGTGCTATTTCCCACCAAATCCATATTCTCCCAAACCTCAATCTTGCTACCCGTGAGTTGGTTAACCATAGTATTCATTAAGACCATGACTTCTGTTTACTTTGATTGCAAGTCCAAGCTAAATTAAGATTTTGTAGAAAGAGATGGCAAGTAGGATATAGATGTCCCAGCAGAAGACAGAATACAAATCATCCTGGGAAATGGTAGAGGTTTGTAGCTGGTGCAGGTCTAGTCCCTTAGTCACACAGGGTTTCAGTGAAGAGGAAATGGACACCAGAACTGCCCCTCAAATCCTTTGCTACAATCAACACTTCTCCTTTTAATGTACAAACATAACACCCAGGGATTTTAATAAAATAATAAGCATCCTGATGCGTTAAATTCCTAGGGAATGGTTATGGTGCTGGACCAGGTACTACACCTTGAGAAGCATGGGCTTTTTGGTTGTTGTTTTATTTTGTACTGGTTGATAAGGCTCAAAACTGGGGCCTCTCACATGCTCTAACACTGAGCTATGCATCCAATTAAGAAGCATATTTTAAGAGTCTGTTGTGAGTATATGCAAGGTTGGAATGCAGGTGGGATTAGGGATGGAACAAGTTAGGTCCAAGACATGTGATTCAGATTTTTTAATGTATTAATTGAACTTTTATTTATGATCAACTACTTTCTGATTCTTCATATTCAAATTTTAAAACTGTTAATTGACACATAATATTTGTGTGTACTTAGGCTATATGTGATATTTTAATACATGTATATAATGTGAAATGATCAGTTCAGCATATTTGAAATATCCATCAACTAACACATTTATCATTTCTTTGAACTGGAAACAATCAAACTCCTCTTACTAGCTATTTTGAGAGATGCAATTAATGGTTGTCACTGATAGGCATCCTATGTTATAGAATATTAGAAGTTATTACTCCTGTTCAGCTGTGCCTCTCTTCATCCCTTCCTCAACATCTATCCTAGTCTCTTGTGATCATTCTACTTTTTATTTCCATGAGATCAACCTTTTAGTTTCTATGATAAGTAGGAATGTGTGGTATTTGTCTTTCAGGGCTTGACTCATTTGATACCTAGTAGGGCAGTGCTGCCAGGAACCCATTTTCATGAAGGACTGGGGGGTAACTCATTCTAAGCACAGAAGTCGGGTAGATCAGTGTGGCCCCATAACAAAGGCACTTATTGAAACAGTTGATTCCGGAGTCAATCATTCAGGTTTGCATCCCAGTTTAGCACCCAAGGACTCAGGTCTGAGTTAACAGAAGGCAAGAAGATCAAACAATAAAATCTGCCCTGTTGTCTCTAAAATTTGCATCAGACAGTGCAGGATAAAGTGGTAACGCTTAGCACCTTAAAATAGAGGACAAGGTGTTGGCTTTGATGACAGAGAGGCCCCAAAGAAGCATCATGCTCCAACACTAGGAGATGGCATAGCTGACTTCCTACAACTCAGTTACTTGCTGAAGAGGACAAATATCTCCTGAAGACAGTCACAATTCCTTGTCAATGAGGCCAAGCGAACTGGCAGGAGCACAATGATATACTGGAGTAAATGTGCATCTGACTCCAGGAAACTTCTTTGAAATGATAATGCCGCTACATGTTTGGTCATTCATTCATTCATTCATTCCAACACTTACTGAGACCCTGAGTGCCAGACATTATAGTAGGTACAAGGGATCTAAAGACAGCTAAGGTATGGTTTCTCTCTCAACAGATTACACAGAAAAAATAAAATATTGCCAATGCAAGGTGAAAAGTGCTGTACATAGAGAGGGTACAGAAGCAGTAGTAGAAACTACCTGTTCTGTCCAGGGCTTCCTGGAGGAGCTCTGGAGTAGACTGCTGGGTTTTGCAGGCAGTGGAGGAGTGCATGCAGAGAGAGGGTCATGTTCTTGCAGGCAGCTGGGCAGCACGACTACTTGAGCAAAGGGAAAGCCGTCTGAAGGAAGGTGAATAATTTCTCTGAGTTGGGGAGAGTTTGGGTATCTGGAACACAGTGTGTGGACATAATCACACACTGGAGGGACATAATAAAAGATGAAGCTAATACTATAAATCCCAAGTATTTTTAGCCACAGCTGTACTCACAAGGAAAAGGAACCTTCTCATCAAATGTCTCAGTGTGCCACTAAGCAGCCAGCCTTTTTAATAGTCTTAATTTTTACCCCTTATGGGCTTTAAGAAAATAGAAGATAATTCTAGATTTTAAAAGATGCTGGGGCTGGGAGTGGCACTCAGTAGTTGAGTGCTTGCCCTGTACACAGGAGGCCCTGGATTCATCCCCAGTATCCCCCATATACAAATAAAGAATAAATAAGATGCTGTCATTTAGAAATTTTAGCACTGTACAGTTATGCAACAAATATTTGACCACCTCATCTCTCAGGTGTACAGAGGCACTACACAAGTGAAAAAGAAATACCCATACGGTGAACATCATCAGGTTCTCTCACCCAGGGTCTGCCACTAGCAAAGTAGAGGGATCTCTACTCACTAAGGTTTCATCTGGCTCTCTCAATGCATGTGTTGGTGAGACAAGACCAAGTGTCCCAAAGGGCTCAAAATCAAGGAAAGGACCAGTGATCAGCAACATCTTTTAGGCATCTAGGTTTACCAAGACTGATGGGAAATCCCCAGGAATTCTTGACTCCCACCCCACACATCCGCGCCAGAAGCAATGCAGGAAATCAAGTCCACCATCTCCAGCAGACTCAGTGGAACCATTTCCTTAATGAACCTTTCTGCTAAAGCAGAACCTTTCCTTTCAAGCTCTCCCTCAGACACCCCGTTCCTCCCATTTCCTTCCCTTCCTTCAATCTGGTATAAAATGCAGAAATTTAGTCAGCAGCATGCTGAATGTGTAAGGACTCCACTGAGCTCCTGGAAAGAGACTTGGTCATCCTTGTAAGCCCCTCCAATGGAGTAAAACTCATAGAAAGAGCTGGGCTGTTCTGTTCTTACTTCACTTAATCCCAATGAAACAGCTGTTTTTGTTTTTCAACAAGTCACAGTATTTTTACTTTCCAAAAAATAGAACCTGTTGTGATGTCAAATGCCTTTCCTCCCCTATTCACAATGAGAAGTCCACTGAAAAATGATATTTACTTGGTATCACTCAACATACCCTTAGTCAGACAGCTGAACCACCAACCTGACTTGCCTGTTCTCTACCATCATCAACAGACTCTGCATTTAACACCCGTTTAGCACCAAAATAGATTCTTGCACTCTACCCCTACCCAATAGAAAAGCTACTGTATTTTGTTCTCACAGTTGCTGAGCTGCCCAGGGGGTAAACATGGGCCATAACCTTGCTGAGTGGATGGTAATACCTTGAATAATCTCCTTAACATGGTTTTTTGTTAGTATGCACCCATTTTTGCAACATATTTTCAATTTTTTTGAAGATAAGGTCTTGCTATGTAGCTCAGGCTGGCCCTGGATTCATTATGTAACCCTTGCTGGTGGCCATCCCATGCTGGGAGTATAGGTGTGTGCCACTCATGCCTGCTCAATTTTTGCATTATGTAATTCAAAATAGATTTAGAAATGTCTCAATAGTTTTAAATATAAATCAAGCAATCATTTGATTTTTTAAGTCACATAAAATATGTACATTTTTGAAGTTAGAAGTTTTAGTTGCCCTGTTGAAACCTAGAACTCTTTTAGAATAAAGCCATTTCTTGAATGTTTTTTTTAAAATCAAGAAACACATACAGTTTTACATGACTGGTACCTTTAAGACTTAATGCAGCCATTACGGGATAGCACATTCTCTTGATGAAAAAAATCTCAAGATAATGTTCTCAGGGCCGGGGATTTAGCTCAGCAGCTGTACCAGATTTGCCTCCCAAATGCAAGGTCCTGAGTTCAATCCCCGGTACAAAAAAACAAAACAAAACAAAACAAAAAATCATTCAAGATACTGATCTCAAGATAATGATCTCAAGATAATGACTTAAGCATTCTCTATCATCCCATTTCCTGCAAAATGCAGGTAATAAAGACCAATTGGATGGTTAGGTATATTCCATTGTACTTGAGGAAAAAACAGTACAGTGATTACCGCTGGTAAAAGGGAAACTCAGCTCACCCTTACAGCCATGGCATCGTTTGCTTTAGCAATGTTTCTGAATGTAAATATAAATAAGAGAGGGGGAGAGGGAGAGAGGGAGAGAAGAAAGAGGGAGCAAAGACATTGAGTTCAGTCTGTTTCTTGGAATCATTTATTAAATTTTAGGGTTGGAAAATGGCCTTAGAAATCAGCCAGGTGTTCTATTTCCTGCATTTTATATATAAAAACAAAAAAATCCAGGGCCAGGGATTTAGCTCAGTGGTTTCCCTGCCTGCCTTGCAAGCCAAGGGCCAGAGTTGGATCCTCAGTACCAAAACAAACAAACAAATAAAAACAAAACGCATTTGGTGATTATTACATAATAAACTATAATCCTGTTAGAGAATTTTCATCAGGGAAAGAAAAAAACTAACGAAGTACTGTACTGAAAAATAAAGTACAAATATCTGGGGAACTAGAGTAGGTAGTTGCCTAGTTTATAGACATGACCCATCCGTTGGAAAATTATGCGGATCACCAAAGACCTAAATAATGAACATTTCAAGGTGCAGGTTGGTGGGAAAAGTGTGACTTTATAAACTAGGCAAAAACAAAAAAATTACAACGTAAAAGAAACTTTGAGAGATTCATCCCATTCGACTTGGAAATAGATACTATTTTCACATACATTCTGATTGAACTTCACGTTACTGTGGACTGTCCTTATAAAATTCACAATGTAAGTATTTCTAATTAGTTACAATAAATCGTAAATGCCAGCTGCTCAAGAACACAAGAAAAAAAAGAGGGGCAGAGGGATCTGTGACTTTATTTAAGGTATGCTTTAAAAAAGAATGAGTCTTAAAGCTGAGAAAAAGAGACTGTTACCCTCCTAGAGAGAAAGATCACAATACAGAGTACTTGAAAGTATCTGAATTGGAGGCGTCTTTTTTTTTTTTCTACAAATTTGGAAGAAGGTAAAGTACTTGTCAGAAGGGAAATGCACGGTCTCTTTCTATTACTGAATCTCTGCTTATCTTACACATCATGCCTGCGCGTGCACAAACGCACGCACACACAAAAGTCCAAAATTGCTAACTGATAAATATTCAAAGTTATGGCATCTGCAGAAACACAGCTCTGGGCTCCACAAAGGTGTAAGATTCCTGATAAGCCCACAGGGCGGAAGTGGGGGGCCTCTTTCAGGGCCTAGAAACGCAGCTTCCACCCCCCACCTTGGACTGAAAAACCCAGAGGGGCTTAGAAAGCAGGTAGCTGATTGGCGACGCGATGTTTGTTATCCAGCCGGAGAAGCTGCGGTTTCACAGGCTTCCTTGGCAGCCACAGACCTGTTCGCTAGCTGATAAAACGTTTCCAAAACAGTTAAGGGGTTGCACCTTGTCGACTTTTGTCCCTTTTCTTCCCGTAACACTTGTAAAACAATTTCAAATCCAGAAAGAGCTCCCAGACTCCTGCTCCATTAAATAAATTGTAATCCAAGAAAAATCACGAGGATCCTACCCACGACCCGTAAAGCTTCAACCAACCCAAGACGCTGAACTCAAACAAAACTACATTTCACTAAAGTCAACCACGTTTTGAAATAAAAACAAAAGATATAAGTGTGTGAAGCAGAAAAAAATCCATTAACATACGCTTTCTCCCACCACATTTTTTAGTCCAAATAAATTTGCCTAGGTTTACTTTTATATAGTAGATCAGTGAGCTTTTTAAAAGTTATCTACGCAATTATATCTTAATATAAACAGCTTTTCAAAACAAAAAAAAAGTCTGTGAAATAGAACGTGTAATATTTAACATAGTTTGCACCTTTCCTGACCTGAGTTCTCAGAAATTAGGACTTCAAACCTGCCTCCATGTTTATTAGTTTTGCCGATCGAATTGTTACTTAGATATCGCTTGTAATTTAAAAGCTGTTGGTCTGAATAGTCTTCCCACTAAGGAAAAAATATCTGTCACAGCCTTTCGGGTTTACCAAGTTTTATTTATTTTAAATAATGTATTTAACCTTACTGACTTTCCTTCTCGGTAATTATTAAAATGAATTACCTTACGTTACCTTATTTTACCTCCCCTTCCACACGATACTTAAAAAGAAAAGTGATCCAAAATGCGGCTCTCTGTGCAGGAGCGGAGCAATCCAGAGGGTGTGACCCCTCAGTCCTACTTTGCACAGCGGGTGAATCTCAGCGCCCCAAGTCCCTCGGCTTTGACTCCTGGATGGCTGCAGTCTTTGCACAAACTTCCTAAAATTTCTGGCCCCTGACAGATCCACCGCCTGTTTTCCAAATGCCTGCCCATCCAGAGCTGCCGGGCGAACCTCAAAAATTCCTCAATCAGTATTTTTTTGGTCCAAATTGTCCGTCTTTTTCTTGGCTCGGAATTTACAGGTCAGGCTTGCAATTCCTGCACTTAACGGTATGTGGGCCTCGGCTGCCCTGGCGGGTTGGGGTCACGCGTGCCGGCGACCTGGCCCTCACCTTACGCAGCCCCATCTGGTGCGTGAGATGGGCGAGGAGGAGCGGTCGCAGCCGAGCCACCCAGCGAACAGCCCGGGGCGCCAGTGCCCGCCTCTCCGGGAATACCCCCCCCATGCAAGCCTGCGACCCTCTCCGAATTGTTTGTCTCCTTACCCCTCGTGGCTTGAGGCCTGTGCCAGAAGAGCCTAGAATCGCCCACGCCCCGGCAGCCTCGCGGGCGTCCAGGGGCCGCTGCTCCAGGCTCCGAGGGGGCCCGCGGACCTACTCCAGGCCACCTGGGAGCTGGCTTGGGTGCCAGGAAAATCCGTGTGAGAGGGGCCCCTTGTGCCCAGAGCTTCCGTGGGGAGACCCAGCCTAGGAGCCTGGCAGGGGACCGCGACTACGGCAGCGATGGGGCAGCCCCAATTCCGACCCGGGCTCAGCGTCATGGCCAGGCTGGGTGGTGATGCCCGCGGGTCCCGGCCAGCAGCTCCGAGGCGCCCACTGCGAACCAGCCGAAGCTCTCACCGCAGGCTACAGCCTCCCCTCCCCGCGTGC